TACGGTATGTCTACTCTTAAACAATGATGTCACAGCTTGTAACCTGCATAACCCTCTTTGCTGCCATGTGACTTTTTACCTTAGATGACCTATCTTTGCTGCCATGTGACTTTTTACCTTAGATGACCTATCTTTGCTTGGCCTGTGTTTTTTGTTGTCAGTTTGAGGTTTCAGGTGCGTTTCTGTGGCAGTGTCACAGTGCCACCAAGGGGCCCAGCTTACATATTACAGTATTTTTGTTTAGGGTTGTCTGCATCCTGCACCAAATGGCAACAAGTCTGGCTACTCCTCTTTTTACATCCATCTGAATTTTTCAGCTGTTTTATCTCAAGCGCATTGTGGGATGTTAAACCTAATATGTTCAGGGAGCTGAATCATTTTAAACCTGCAATAGTCGCTGACAGGATTTGTAGAAAACCCATACTTTTTTTTTTAACCAATCTTTACTCTTCTTGTAACAATTGGTTCATTTTAAATTGCTGAAACTTTTTTTTCTGATAATGCTTATAAACCAGATAGAAAAATTACAATCATAGAATAATTCAAATCATCAGGATTTTATGATACAACCCAGTGATTCAAAGTTTTTGTTGTTGTTGTTGTTTTATTTATTTATTTATTTATTTTTTATTTATTTATTTTTTCTTAGGTAAATTTTAAGGAAACATTAAAGTTTAATTTTGATGGTCATTGTTGCAGCATAAAGGTTTGGAAGAATTTGTATGCAGAGAAAGTAATTATTCTAGCTAAGGATCCCTACCATGTCAGATGAACCAGAAGCCTTTCATTAATGGTCCCAATCTTCTCTTATCTCTCACCACTCAACTTGCTCTTTTCAGTGGATAGGGAATTCCTGCACATGAGTAGTTTCCCAGCCTGAAGCTCTTGTGGCAGAGAAAGATGCTGATGAACCATCTGGCTCTGTCTGGTGACATTTCAGATAAGGAAGTAAAACACCCCTTTATTGCCCTGCAGTAGGAAAACGTGTCCTCTGCATTAAATCCATCCCCTGGGAGGCAATCCTGCATTAAACCCACTGCTAAGGAAACAGTGCACAAATCACATTTGAACTTGAAGAACTGGGAACAAATTACTGAACAAAAATTATAGTGAGACTCACTCCATTTGATTTACTTTGTCTTAAACATTCATGACTCCTAAGTCTGCTTTGATGAGCTCAGATGTGCTGATAACAGGCTGTTTTCCACATGCAGTTTGTTCCTCTGAGTGGTTCAAAACTGAAGATGAACTCAAACATATAAGAAAAAGTTACTTTTTGGTTGAAAAAAGCATGGTTTCTTTTTGTTGTTGGGTCCTAACAAAGTAGAACAGATTTAAACCCTGTTTTATTACCAGAGAAACAAAATAATTTCATGTACCACTTGCAATGCACTCGTGGACCACTAGGAGTACGAGTACCCCCTGTTGGGAATCAATGCCCAGGCCTAGACCACCAAACCCCAGCTATAATAGCAGTATGCTTACATTTCTAATAATTGTCACTGTAAAGCAAATTATTTAGAGAATATGAAGGTCTAAGGACATCAAGTGCAAAAGGTCAGATCTAAGGTCTGGCTGTAACTTCTACCGACTAGAGGATAAAGGTTGCATCACTCCCAGCCTCAAACAGATCTTCAGCTGTAAATGACACATCTTATGGCTTCTTACATCACTCTTTTGCTGGCAAGGTCTATTTTGCAAAGTGTAAAGTGTGTAACAGCTGATATATGGACAGGTTCTCTAACTTGAGCAGTGCATTTCTGAAGCTCCTCCAGTTCCCTCCTCTTGGCTGCATCTCTGAATAATGTTCTCCCTAACAGCCTTTCCATGAATGGCTAGGTCCTGATGGTAGATTGAACTGAGCTCTGTTACATATTTAGTGCATTAGTTCTGCACTAAGCTTCAACATACCTTTCAATTGACCTGTAGACTAATGATATATTACAAACATCTCAGGCCTTTATAGAACAGCTTGATTTAAATTAGCTGTTAATACTGACAGCATTTACCAAGTATATGACTTCTGCAATTAGCTAGACTAAATTTAAATATACACCAGCTTTTTATTTTATATATGTGAGTATAATGTAATACTTGACTTTTTTGTAGGAATACTACCGGAGTCTGCAACATTTCATATCTGAAAAGTCATTTTGCCCTGAGAGTTATTTGGGTAAATGTCTGCAATAGGAAATGTGTTGCCATCTTCCACAACCCAGTGTTTATTCATATTTTAGCTTTTATGTAAATAAGGAAAAAAATAAAATGATTCATAAACATGGAGCATGGATTTTCTTCTGTTGTGTTGTTATTTTAGGTTAAAAAAAAATAAGAAACATAGTAAAACCTTTAATTTGGATTTAATAAAAAATGCTCTAAATAGTTGTTTTTAAAACCATTCTGTTGAGAAAATTAAATTAAAATATTCTTTAAAAAAGCCACTAAAGCTTCAAAGACTGGAATTTTTTATTAAAGTATATTAGTTATTCCTTTTTAGTCAATATTAAGAGCCATTGTAGAGGTTGCAGGTTGCAGCCCCCCGTTCTTCTGTATAAAACATCTCTGAAATACAGTACATTGACTTTTCTTCATTTCCAACCCTTTCCTCTTAAACTATTCAGCTTGTCTGAGAATCAGTCCCTGGTGCGGATGCCTCCCTGGAGCAACGGCTGGCTGATGGGCGCCATGAGTCTCTCCATGTCCCTCCACTTCATGATCATCTATGTCGACCCCCTGCCTGTAAGTCTCCGCCTCCGTCACAGCTCAGATAAAGATGCTCTATTGGTACCGTCATTTTGAACTGAAAGTTGAACCTCTAACGCTGAATATCTCTGCCCACTTTGCTAATCCACAGATGATTTTCAAGCTCACTCATCTAAATGTGGAGCAGTGGATGATGGTGCTAAAACTTTCCTTCCCGGTGATCCTTATTGATGAGCTCCTGAAGTTTGTGGCTCGCACATACTGTATCTAGAAGGTGAGTTGAAAGAGGGACTTCTTTACAATGGAATCTATTTTTGTCTGAAGCATATATATTTATTATTAAATAATTAGAAGTAAAAATGCAAGGATGATCATCAGGTAACATCTAACCCTAACCCTCCCAACCATCTTCGCTCTAATCTCTATTTTCCCTGATGATTTAATTTTCCTGTCCCCTTCCTGGATCACATTTCCTTACCCCTTATCTGGAAATGCAGTCTAAAACCTGTCCCCAAACCTCCATACCCCTTTAACAAAACAAGGCATTCACCTCCTGACTCTAAGATGAGCTATTTATCTGCACAGTGCAAAACATCTGCCTGCTTTCTGAGTGCACCTTGGCTCCTTCTGAAGCTTAATAAACTATAATTTTCTATCATATATAGATCTGCATGTCTGGTGCTATTTCCTGTGAGATGTTTACATAGAAATCACAATTTTATACTACATACAATTACTAGGAACTTGCAAATTTACCATGATCAGTCATTCTGGACCATATTCTACAGCAATAAAACTAATGCTACTACTTGCTGCTTAAAAGTAACTATGGCCTAAATGTTTCTGGAATATGACCATTTGTTTCTGAAACTAAGTATGCTGTCTAACATTTGCAAACACTGAATCTGCATTTTCTAATTGGTTTTCCACTATTTTAAAGGTAGAGTTTAGTTTTTTTTTTCCCCCACAGGGTGAGTCGGGTTATAATCCACAATCTGGGAACCTGAGCTTCTTTTCCTTTTGGGATTTTTTGGAAATATATATAGAGTTCTTATGATAAAGATTCAGTAGAGCAGGTAGATAGGTTTCCAGATTTGAATGAAACAACAATATATGGGGCTCTACATATTTCAAACCTTGTTTTTCTTTTTTTTATGATCAAATCTCATTTATTTTCTTTTAAGCAAAGCATTAAAGTTTAAATACAAATGATAACCATGAATTTAAGTTTTTATGTTGAAAACCCAAGGGATGGATGGATGGATGGATGGATGGATGGATGGATGGATGGATGGATGGATGGATGGATGGATGGATATATTGTGGGTAGATTTATGAATGGATATACTTTAGGGAGGGATGGATGAATGGATGGTGGGTAGATGTATGAATCGATATACTGTAGGGAGGGATGGGCACATGAGAGAACCAGATGGATGGAAGGAGGGAGAGAATTAAGATAGGATTGTCAGACAGACAATGAAAAAGGGATAAACTGGCCAATTAGTGTTGAACAGGAAAAATTATGGACTGAAAAACAAAAATAGATGAATAAATGGATGGCTAAAACATTTAAATAGTAGAAAATAAAACCCTTTTATTTCCCTACTTATCACAACCTGAAAAATGTAAACATTTACAGGCTGCATAGAATGTTCCAGATGTTTGTGGGATCTTTTATTGGGTCTATTTTGCTCTCCTGCTATTGGTTCCCGTTTGTCCAAACCTGCCACATTCACTCTACCTCCACTGCACTGCTCTCTTAATGAAGAGTTCTTCTGTTTTGTCTGTTCAGGAAAAGTCTAAAGAAAATCATGGAAAGTATGCCTGGAGGAAGGGGAAGGATGACCACAGAGGATTGAGAAATAAAAAAAAATAAAAACAGCAGAAAGCTGCGATTGAATGAATGAAAGCTCATCAAGTCACATGATCTGTACATCAAGTGGTGTGAAAACAACCGGAGACATAGAAGACATCTGAAAATACACCAAAAAGCTGCAAAAAGTTTTTTTTTTTTGTGTATGTTCCAAGAAATAATATATAGTTATGGTATTTTAAAGCTATTCTGTTTATTCTATTCTTAAAGAATAAAGATGTGTACTGAAGGTGACATGAATTTTAACTCTTAATTTTATTTTTGTTCCAGAATGCTGTCTGCATGTACAGTGAAACTGCAAAGAGCTCTGAGCCGGAACACTTTATTATATCTGTTTGACCTTAATGCTTGAAAGAAATAATGTGACGACTTGTTTTTCATCTTCAGTGTGTATTAAAACAAAAACAAAAACCCACACATGTTAAACTTTTATATCTCTACTAATACCACTTTTATTGCCTAATCCAGTCATACGTGTCAATTTAAAGGCTGGTATGGGCAGTTAAGACATGGACTGTAGATTTATGCCTGATAGCTGACAAATGGTAGACTCATTATTACATATAATAACATACATTAAAAAACCCTCTCGTTTGCATTGCTTCATGAACTCTTATTGCACTGTGCTGTAAAGAGGTCCTTCATCACAGATAATATGGCTTACAGACGCATTTTTACCTGCACTGATGAGTGTTTTTGCTAGAGTTGTTAGTTTTATAAACAAATTAAATTCAGATTTGCATTTTTACAGGAAGGAATGTTACAGGAAGTCATTTAAAACATGGCTCTCAATGACTAAGAAACCGTTTGATTTACTGACATCGAAGCATAGCTAGCGAAAACAGACACGCTCCAGTGTCGTAATAGAAAAAGGGGGAAATAGTGCAGAGTTTTCTTGGGGTGTCTGTCCAGCGTGTGGACCTTCTTGGTCCAGGCGATATGTTTGATGCTGGTCTTTGGTTTTTTTCACATCTTTTTCTAACGTTCATGAGACTTCAGCAGGCTGAGCGCCAGCTTCTCCCACACTCTCCCCGAGGATTTCTTTGACTTGTTCCAGAGTCTCCGCCTGCCGGATCAGCTCCAGTTTAACCTGAAAGCGGAGGGAGATAAATATATAGATGTCACAGAATCGGTTGTCGATATGAAAGCTTACATCATGATTGGACATTGATTCTTTACCTGAAGCGACTGGGAGAGCTCGACGAAGTCCCTCTGCACAGCCTGGCTGGTGTCCACCTGAGAGCGAAGGCTGATCACTTGGCTACGAAGTTCCAGACACTGTTGGTGGAGGAGGGCCTGAAAGACACAGAGATGGGGATATTAACCCATATGAGCTTTAGACACATGCCGGGCAAACAGCTTTACAAACACACATACAAAATTTTTTGAATAATGTGGTATTTACCCCCTTTTTCTCAAAATGTCTAAAGAAAATCCAATGTAATCAACCACCAAAAAAGACGTCCATCTAAGCTATGTAATCATTCATCAGAGAAGCAACCTACAGGGGTGGGGTTGACTATGGAGGAGTCATAATGATCCACTTAAGGTGGAGCAATGTATCCACCTCATCCTGATTGACATCAATACCAACACCACAGATGGCCTATATGGAAGGCAGGAGGAGAAAAACAACTCAAGGTTCATGTTGGTGAGATGGCAAATAGGTAGAGGAAGGTCCTCTGATGAGACTGCTCCACCATCCACAACACATGCTCACCACTGCATAACACAGTGTTGGTAGCATCATGCTGCAGGGACGCTTTTCTTCAGCAGGGAGGGTAAAGCTGCTCCAAGCTGAGAAAACTCATTTAAATACAAAATGACTGAGAAAGAAACTGGTTAAGACTTCTAAAGACTTAGAAGGGGACAGAGGTTAACTTTCTGGGAAAAAGGCGAAAATAGAGCCTGAGATTAAGTGGGACGGTTTGGATAATCTAGGGTTAGGATCCGTTTTGGTTACTTTTAGATGCCTCTCTGCTTCAAAACATCTGAATCCAATCAGGCATAAAACCAGCTGAGATTCTTCAAGGTGACCAAAACTGATATTCAGAACATTTTCTATCTGACCTTTCCTGCACCTTTGCCCCAGAAAAAAGGACATTTTCAGTCCACAGATGTGCAGACGTTTACTTAACTTTCACAAACAAGCATCCTAAAAACCATGCAAAATTAGTCTTCATAAGATCCCAGTAACATGCCTTAAACTTGGTGGCTGAAATGTGACAGAATGTAAAAAAAAAAAAAAAAAATCAAACAAATATTTTTGCAAACTGCAGAATCTGACAGATTTTGCTGCACAACAGACAATGGTGGATTAGCCCCATCTTGTTTAATCAAACTCGAGAGCCTTGGTTCTAAAAGCCGGTTTCATTTACTTTATCACTGGTGAGGGCTTTGTTGGTGTTCTGCAAATGAGTGAGCGCCACCCGCTGGGCTTCCAGCTCTTTGCGGCAGGTAAACAGCTCAGCCTGCTGCTGGTCCCTCTGAGCCTGGATCTTCTCTGTCTCTGTCCTCAAAGTGGAAAGCTGCACTGCAGAAAGAATCACAAGCACAGTTACATTAATAGCATTTCTGAGACTAATAACATCAGGGATAAATAACTTATGGTATTACAGATGGCTTAGCAGGCTAATGATAAACCATGGCGTCCACTCACCCTCTAAAACATCTGATGTTGGTAGTTTTGATCAGCAGCCGCCATGAGGAATGAAGGAAAACAAAGAAACAGTTTAAGCATGGTGGAAGTTAGCCGGTAAGCAGATATTTAAACAATCCACAGACCGTTCTCCTCCGCCCGACTGTCCAACTGCTCCCTCAGATTGACTATCTCGATGCGAAGTCGCTCCTCACAGTGCGCCCCCTACAGGCAAAAGATAAACAATCAATTTCACAGAGGTCTTGCATAAAATTAACATGTGCCATTTTGTAAATGTGTCGTTTTCCTTCAGGATCCTCTAGTCTCTGATGGTTACGTGCTATTAAGCTGTCATTTTGCCAGGATTTTCATAGGCAGGCACATTCAATATCACCCAAACAGTTAAACTTTTCACGATAAAGTAACTTTAATATAAGGAGTTTGATTTGAATAAGAACAAAAAATAAAAGAAGGGATACAGAACGTCACTATGTGAGGTTTTAGATCAAATACAACTCTTTCTTTAAGCAGAAAATGAAACTCCAGGAAAGGATTTTTTAATCAGAAAAACAAAATTTATAAGCTTGACCTTTTATTATTTCAGACTTTCACCTCTAGGTGCTTGATTGCAAATAGAAAAATTATATATTTTTTAATCCCTTCCTTTGCAGACAGTACTGTACTGGCCTCAGTGCTAGAAAAAACTACATTTGGGGGTCTACTACTAGACCTATTTGTTTTATAACGCTTGATATATTTAGTAAAAAAAAGAAATGTAAATTAAATTGACCCACTGCTGCTGTGGCATAAAAGCTTTTAATCAGCTGTTAAACAGCCTATTTCATTTGCTGTCTCAAAAGAGTTGTTTTTATTCTCCTGCTCCTTTTAAAATTTTGATCAGGTGTTTATTCCACTTAAATTACGAACTGAATTTTCATTTAAAAAAAAACAGCATTTACATAGGCTAGCTTCTTAAATGGTAGATTTACCTGCTGCGTGTCTGAGATCGATGATCTGGGGTCCAATAAACGCTCATCGATGTCTTCTCCTTTCAGTCTGGACAGCTCACAGCACATTTTCCGCTGAGACAGAGACAACTCCGCCTGGACCCCAGAGGATACAGAAGAAGAACATTTCATTTGAATTCCTTAGGATTTCAATTTAGAAATATAAACAGTGTTTTAAAAAAAAAAATTCTACTATCTTATTATAATCAGCAACTTGATTTCCATTTTAGTGTCAGGTCACTCACCAGCCGGCTCTGAACCGCATTCTGTGATTGGCTGAAAGATTTCTGCAAATCTTGAAGGAGAGTCTCTGAGGTCTGGACTTGAGACTGGAGCAATGAGACCTGAACACAAACAAACATCAACTGGTGTTAAAACTGGTAGCCTTTATATGAAGCCCATTGAGACCAGAGATGCAGTGATCAGATGACAGCTGATTTAAGGTCTGAGCTGAAGATTCAAACCTTAAAAAAGTCATTAATTTTACATTTGCTAAAACCAACAAAAACATTTGAATGGAGGATAAAGGTTTTCCCACTGTGATAAGTGAGAATGAAACAGGGAATCAAACTATTATATGACAATCGTCCTTAATATACGCCCACACCCAGATGTCCAAAATCTTTTACTTTTACTGAGATAAAAATGAAAAAGTATCAGTGGAAAGTTAACATTTTGATGTTTTTGGTGGGCAGGCGGAAAAGATCATCTGATTTTTCAGTATCTTATCCCCTGATGACTCAGCAATAGATTGGAAACAGTTGGATTGTTTGATGATCATTTAATTAGGATGGCCAATCAGAGCAGAAAGCCCCACCTGTTTATGGGTGTGGTGGGTCTGGGTATCCAGTTCTCTCTCCAGCTCCTCCTTCTCCGCCTGCAGTCGGCTCACTTCCCCTCGCAGATCTGACAACTGCCCAAAAAAAAAAAAAAAAAAAAAAAAAAAAAAAAGTTTATAGCAGCCATCTCACTTTAAAGCTGTATTTGTATTAGTTGCCGTTTCTGGACCTGCGCATTGAGGGCATCCCAGTCACTGTGAGTTACTAGGCGGTGTCCCGCAGGGGGTAGGTAGATGGCTTCAGGAACTAGTGTTCCCGTGGAAACCAGTGATTCTGTGTCTTCCTGAGTGAGTAGTTTTCTGGGCAGAGATGGCGTGTCCAAGGAGAATGAGGACAGCGAGGCAGAGTCACAGTTCTGTAAGGAATAATAACCTTCAGCTGAAAGGGGCGACCCGTCCTCTGCCGCTGCCTCAGGTTCTAGCGGTCCACTCCGCGTTTGGTCCGGCGGCGAAGCCGCTTCGTCCTCCTTCAAGCTATTGCCAACCGATGTCAGGGATTCATTGACGGATACGTCGGATTCGGCCCTGCCCTTTTTGCTACCGGTCTAACAGGCACAGAAAAACAAACAATGAGATTCAGATTAAAATGCTTTACATCTTAAAGCAGAAGCAAACTGACCGTGTTGTGTCCACTGGTTCTCCTCCAGTCCACAGGCTGGGACTGCAGCACAGCTATCCTGGCTTCATACTGGGCTACAGTTGCTGATAAAACCGGATACTTACAATTAATTCAGGATATTTTACTAAGTCACTGCTCAAGAGTATTATTAGTTTCAATGGTCTACAAAAACAGTTAAAAAAAAAAACTACTTGTGGTTTTAATGTTTACTTGATCAAAAACAGCAATGATTTTTATGATGGTATGATTTTTTTATTTCTTTTTACAAAGGTTTATAAACACAGAATTTCTCAAAGCTTTTTAATATAAAAAACGTTCTTTATACTCAGGAAAAAACAACAAGCATTCACTTTAAATGTGAATTAGAACTCAGACAGTGTAAACAATCCCACTATTCTGAAATCCATCATCTTCTTACATCCTCTCAGCTTTTCAAACACACACGGTTGCTTCCTGACCTCTGAGAGCCTCCTGCAGAGACTGGATTTCTTCATCACATTGTTTCTGCAGCTCTGCCAGTTCCTCCTGTTTGCTCAGCTCACAGATTGTTGCCACGCCCTGCCAGTGCTCAGCCTGAGCTCGGCACTCGGCTAGCTGGGCCTGCAGGCTGCCCACTGAAAACAAGACACATTTATCATTTCTTTCTCTTTTTCTAGGAGGTCTAACATGAAACGGCCCCCATACAAGCTGGAAAAGCCTTCTAATAAACTAAACTGGTTCTTCAGTTACTGGGTTTCACACTTTATTATTTTAATTACATCATCATATAAAACACAATCAATTTTATTACAAGTCTTTAATATACTTAATTAACTGAAGGGTCTCACCACAACAGGATAGAAAGATTTTAACTATCACTACTTTTCAGCACTATTTAAAGCCCTTTAAATCAGGCATCCCCAACCTCGGTCCTCCAGACCCGCTGTCCTGCAGGTTTTAGAGGTTTCCCAGCTGATTATAATGATTGCAGTAGACCAAAAGCCTGTTAATCATCTTTCAGTTGAAATCAGCTGTGTTGGAGCAAGGAAACATCTAAAACCTGCAGGACAGCGGGCCTTGAGGACCGAGGTTGGGGATGCCTGCTTTAAATTATGTAGTTTGAAACGTTACACATTTTTAGGGGAAATTCTTGTTAACTTAAATATTTTTTGAAAACCCTTCATGCTTCCATTAAACGTGATTTTTACTAGAATATTATCTTAAAAATCCATTAACGTTTCCATATAAGCATACCTGGCTCCAATTTATTGAACTAGCCTATATATTTAGCAAGCATTTCTTATTATTGCAGAGGAGCCATTATTGCGTTCTTGTTTCTGACTGACAACAAGAATCTAGACAAAAAAATCTAAAAAACATTATTTTTAAAAGTCAAAAGCTCCACCGACTTCATTATCCATTTGCTTCATCTACTACTGTCAGCGAAAAATGGAAAAATGAAGCCATTTCACAATGAAACTGTTTAGAATTGTAGCCGTGCGACTTTTGACAGTTTTGCCCCAAATGGCAAAAAGGTTGGACAGCAAAAATAAAAATAAAGAAAAAATGCATTTAGCTTAAATTGCAGAGAAAAAAAAACACTCTTCCAAACTTTAACTCATGCACTCAAACACTAGAACTGGTTAATAAGGCTTCAACATATATCTCTGACTTTTTAAATTCCAAATCTAATTAAAAACAATTTATTTCACCCTGTAGTTAAAAAAAAAATTACATAAGATAGTTTTGAAGACTAACTCTTAATTGAATTGTCCTTTCTACGTGTTAACCTGAATTCAGAGAGCAGCTAAAGCATGCTTGTAAAACAAGTTGGCACAAAAAAGTTTTTAAAATGGGGATATTACACGACTTACTGGAACACACTTTGATCTACGGAAGCCCCGAAAAATGCATTGTTTAATAATAAAAAAATAAAATCCATATTTACTGAAAACGGAATATTCAACTGATCCATTGCGCAGCCCAACTCAGTCTATTTTTCTCTAAGATCTAAGTACATTGTTAATGCCAATCAACAGCAGGATGTTATTAAATGACAATGTACTTTGAACTCCTAATGCATGCTATCTAGGGCTGCAACAAACAAATTATTTTGCAAATCAATTAATCTGTTGATTAATTTTTGGATTATTAATCAGGTAGCAAAAGGCTCCTTAAAGATTTTTTTTACAGAATTAACCCAGGTGAAACTAAACCTTTTCCACTTGAGGAGTTCTGGATAGAGCATATTGATGGACAAGGGTGTTTTTTTTTTTAATCTTAAATGCACAATATTTATATATATATTTTTATAATTTTTATATAATTACTGCTCTAATTTCTGTCAGAAAAAGGCATATTTTAGAGTCTCTACACTCCAGTTAATAATTAATCGATGCTAAATTAGTTGACGATTATTTCAATAATCAATAAAGATTAATACAATTGTTTCAGCCCTAATGCTATCAGAAACATTCTTAAAAATATAAAATAAAACCTATCAGGAACATTCAGATCAATTTGAATGGCAGTGGAAATAAAAGAAGAAATGGAATATTTTTCCAGTCAGAAGTTATTAAGTCTCACTCACCAGAAACAAACCTGCATGTGTTTACAAACCATTATATAATCTTTTATCCAATAATTTAGATAAATTAGAATAATGTAGCTTTTTATATCACCTTCAGAACTAGGAAGTATTTTTTTCTGTTAAAACACTGAAGCCAATTTAATGCTAATAGTGCTCCATTGCCTTTACCGGATACATTACTTTTTTTTATTTAGGTAGTTTATGTCAAAGCAATGCAAGCATTGAATAAACTTTACAGATTTGATACATTTAATAAACAGACTTTATAAATATACATAATTTAATGAGCGTTTTCAGACCCAACAGTAGGGTAACAAGAGGAAGCATTTGGATCAAGATTACAGAACTCAACAAAAAAAAAAGACAGCAAGTGTAAAAACTATTACTAAAAATATTTACTGAGCCACTTTCTCCCAACTTTACACAGGGTTCCTACAGCATAAGGCAAGTTAAATTCAAGACTTTTTAAGACCACTTGAAATAAAAATGTAAGACCAAATTCACAAGAAACAAGAAAAACCCGCTTGCGACAACTTAACCCAAAGGTTTATTTTAACCTAAACCACTGCACTAATGTTTCACATTTTTAAAAGCAGGAAGAAAGCTAAAAAACACACAAATGACAGATATATTTCAACAATTATTTAACTGAATTCACAAACTTTGTTTCAGCAGGGATCAAAACCAATCAGTTTTAAAGCCACAACATAACCAGTGCTAAGTCTTTTTTGCAGCTATTTTTCTTTGTATCGTTCTCTTAGTATGTTTGATTTGGTGATAAGTGGAGGCGTTCAGGGACAAGGGTGGAACAAAACTGAGAAATACCGGCTGTTTCTCGTTAACTTGATTTTGATGCTTTGTGTTTTTCGTGCTTCACATGTGCAAACTCTTGGCTGGATAGCCAATTTTCGTTACATTTACACTTGCTTATGTTTTCCAGACAAAAAGTTAATGGTGCATCTCCCAAATGTCCCAGCCGCAACAACGCTTTTATTGGTTCCGCTATCGGGAAGGAAGCAATAATGGCGAGCCCTTTTTTTTTATTTATTAAAAAAAAATAATAAATTCTCAATTTTAACATTTTTAATTATAAAATAATCCTATTTATGATGTTTTAAAAATTAAGATATACGAAAGACTGATTTAAGACATTTTAATACCAATTAAGGCCTTAGTTTTATTTTAAAGAATTCAATGCCTTTTAAGACTTTTTAAGGACCCGCAGGAACCCTGTTTATACCTTCCGGTTATTAAAACAGAGCACCAGACATGCTTCTCAATAGTTTCAAATACCACCAAACATTCTCTTCCATTTGAATTCCGAATAGTCAAAAACAGGTTGAGTAATTGAATTTTAGTTTTCCTTTTAATGTTAATGAATACTTGGTACTAGACTGAAATATGAGGAGCTTGTAATTTCTTTATTATAGTAGATGTCAGCATGGACTTGATAATAAACAGTGGACCAAGAACTGCAGAGGATGCCTTAAACATATTGAGGAGGATTTTCTCAATTTTTTTTTCCACTTAAAAAAAAATGCACGTGAGAAAGCATGCATGAGCCCATTTCTTCTCATGCACGCTCTGTATGAAAGTTGCTGTTCTCATAGCTCATACAAGCTGACTGTGTGCACACTTCCTCCCTAACCTCTAAATCCTTCAATCATTATATAGAGCTAGGAATATATAGTGGACTTTATAGCAAACTCAGTCAACTTACACTTCGGACAGATGATCACCTTCCAGTTGGACCACTGCGCGGTGCCTGCGCCATCTTTGTTATTAGTCGCAATTTTCGCTACCCGACAGCCTATGGCGACAGCGGGGCCACCGTGACAGCAAATCCCATAATGCTTTGCGATCCGAGCTCTCTGCTTAAAGCATAATGGAAAATATATCCGCCTCTTCCGATGCCTTTCTTTTCTCCTCATACACTTCGTAGACACTTTTTCTCTCACGACCCTCTGCCATTTTCAAAGAACCACTGTGAAAAAGGTGAGCTTCAATGACCATCTGAAAGCTCACCACACATATAGGCCTGATAGTGCGCATGCACAGAAAAAGATAGCCATGGTGTCTAATATAAACATATCACCAGAATGATTGAAAATTAGGATGACCACTTTTTAGATGATCCACTCGGAAATAAAAGATCATCCTCTTTACCTTTAAAACATCACCGACTGTGGAAACATAACGCTGAATCTCACCTCTCCGCCTTTCCTCCAGACTACCAGATCTTAACTTCTAAATGTATTATTTTGAAGCAGTGAGTAACAGCCCCATCCTTTTTATCCTCATCCCAGGGGAGACACTTTAACAGTCATCTCTGGTTCAATACTGGCTTCAAGACATCGGACCATCATTTATCTTCCTGACTAAAGGGCTGGTTATACTCCCACAGCAGTGTCACAGATATTTTTGGGTTATGCCCAATATTGAAGCGTGTACTGCGCTATGTTATTCCACGCCATAACGCAAGAGGGACAATCATGAACTAGCTGTGGGTCTAGATAAGGCCGATGCAATGAGGAAGTGGGGGCAAGTTTGTGCGACAATGGAGGGACATGAGGGCGAAAAAGAGCGGGAATCCAGGTGGAAAAAGGGATCCCAGTGTTCTCGCGGACCTCGCACTTCTAGTTAGTCCACAATGGAGTCGTTCCCACAATGGAGGTCATATAAACAAATGAAGCTGGTAAGTTACCAAACAGGAGATAGGCATAGTGTACAGCGGATGTAGATTTGACCAATCAGAGGCCTCCTTGTCTGCGGTCACCTACAATTTGGGAGAGATGCAGCAGAGTGTTTGCGGAAGGGGTGGGGGCATATTTGCGTTCACTGCGACACACGCAGACAACCTGGTTTCTGAGTACAAACCAGCCTTTAGTAATCCTCCGCATTCAGCGTCTGCTCTGCCGATAGTGCAAGCGTAGAAGAAGAAATTTGCTGTTTAACTGTGCAAAGAAAGAAACAACGAAAGAAAAATGTCTGAGGACTTCAGTGTTGAGGAAGAGCATGAGTTCTTTGCCGAGCTGAATGCGCACTTTCATCTGGTTTGGTCTGCCGTGGTTTCCATAGACTTGTGAACGCACTTTTAGGTAACCCTATACACTACTGTTTATGCTCTAAAAACATTCTAAATGACTTCGTTTCGAGTAAATTATGGAAGCTACCCACTCAGGACACTTGGAATACATTGGACGAGCAGTATGGAGGAATATTGAAACGTTTTTTGTGGACTTTTATGGACCTTTCTGCCTCGGGCGCCATAGACCTCCATTATTTGAATGTCAGCAGACAGCAAGAAGCCTCCCAGATCTCCAGATGCATTTGAGATATCAAAAAAGTACTCCAGAGTGTTGTTCAGCATGGGGGTGAGTAGAAAATGAAGGCTAATCATGTTTTGGGTGTACTATTCCTTTAAGGCTGTTTGTATTCTTGTTACTTGTGCTACTTTTATACCACAGCTTTTCCTTCCACAAAACTTTCCATTATTATTTTTGACTGCAGTACTCTGCCAATAAACAGCTTCTTCTTTCACAGCTGTCCAGCAGACCCAACTGTCTGCTGGACAGCTGTGAAAAGTGCATATTATTTTCTTTTAATTATTATTAGTGCTAACGCATAATCATCAGAATTGATGACTTATTAATTTAAATAACTTTTAAATATGAAACAGTCTAAAGAAATGTTCTAAACTAATTTTTTTTTTGTTTATACTGGTGTATAAAAAAATGACAAAATAAAGTCTAAGTATAAATTAGAAATAATCACTTAAAAAATATATACTTTTGGAATCTAGTAAAAGGCTTCCCTGTTTAACTTTGAAAAAACTTTCATGTAAAAAAAAAAAAAAAATTTAAATGCCCCAATTAAGTTAAACTTTTATGTGACGTCATATGAAATTTCAAGGGATTTTAATCTATTCATTTGACTCTTTCAGCAGCACTACTGTAAAATAACACGCACTTCCTAAAAAAAAAAGCACCAAACTAGATACAGAAAGGTTTTATATTACCGAAACTTCAGAAAAACGGAATAAAACATTTTGCTGCATCAACAATGCCTTAAAAACACATATTTCTGAGCACTTTCGCTTCTCTTTTCTACTGATAGAGTTTGAGTTACTTCTCAGTTTAGCTGCACCTTAAATGGTTTAAAGGAAGTTTTTATTGTCATGATATAAATGAATTTTACTTTTAATAATAAAGCGATTATTTCAAAGTATATATTTCATACTACGCTACAACTTTCTGTAAAGTTAGCTTAGCGTTTTAGCCGCAGCTAACGGCTGTAGTTCATTTTAACGGTCAGTTAAGCTAACAGGCCGTTTATCTGCAAACTGCTTAAAGCTGCTGATTTAAACGGACACCGGAAACTAGCGACACTGAGAAGAAATAAAAACCAAAGCTATAAATGGTGTAGCGTTATATGGAAGCCTTTCATAAAGCAGATAAAAGTTAAACCTGTTGCTTTTTAACTACCTGGGTCTTCCTTCTCCGAGCTCATCTTCTCAGCAGGCAGGGCATCAGTGAGGGGGAAATATCTACAAAAAACGACTATTTAGAGATCCAAAAATCCTTTTTGGACATTTTTTTAGGAAGGAGAGGGTTTGGTGTGGAAGCCATCAGCTCAGTATGAAGTTCAGGAAACAACTTTCCCCGGTCTGCGGAAAACACGTCCACCTCCTTCCTGTTCACAAGGGCTTGACCCTGGATGCCAGAACAGCAAACACTCAGGGACACTGTTTATTTTGCCGTTATATTTTAATATGGATTAGTTTTGTAGGGAAAAAATAGAGACTATCAATAAAAAAAAAAATCCTCTATATAAATCTATATTTTCAGCACTGGCTTTACAGTAATTCTAAAAATCCTGATTTCCTAAAGATTTTTTAAATCAAAACCTCCAGCTTTAACAGCCTCGTCACCACCCTTATTTTAAAATCTGGGGCCTGTTTCAGAAAGGAAGTTAAGTGAAAACTCTGAGTTTGTTAACCCTGAAATGAGGGAAACTCTGGGTTTCTGTTTCAGAAAGGGAGGTAAGTTAAACCTGAGAAAGCAGAGTAAGTCAAGCCCTTTTCTGAAAGAGAGGTAACTTATACTCAGAGTCAGTTACCATGGCAATTTACTCTGTGAACCTAACCTGGTCGGGAGCAGGTTTTCTTTAGAAAATCCAGAGTTTATTTTGGTCTCCTCCCCTTTTTTAAAGAGGAAGTGGTGTTTAAACACCTCATTGATTCTTTGGGGACATACAGTATTCATTGCCCACATTTCAGTCACGTAGAGCGCATCAAAGGGAATGAAATGGCATGTCCTTTTATGGATGATCCTGTTTGTAAAGCCAGGTAGCTACTCTACTCCCATGATGTGCTCAAGGCTTACCTGCTTGAAGTATGTTTTTATATTTCATTTTCAGCTGCTGCCATGTTCTTTTGATGCCTGCAGGATTGCACCTATCCATGAAAACTAAATTAGGTTTAATAAAATACTGTTCTTCCAGTTTCACCTCTGATATTATAACAGTTGGGTAAGTTACTCTAAACTACAAATACTACAAATACTACTCTAACTACAAATTTTATCTTCAACAAGTCTAATTAGATTAATGTAATAATTACTGTCTCTAGAAAGTATTGGTCTACTTACTAATTTGTTTTACTTACTTATTAATTACTTTCTAAATCCCAAATCAACCTCAACCACTTGAACAATACAAGGAGAGACAAGAAACTGCACCTCTAATGCTTTCAAATAAACAATATTCAATTGCATGAATTAATCTTAAATTGACCAAAGTGTGTAACTAGAGGGAGAAAATTCAAATCAAAATATACCTTTAAAAAATTTGATATTAAATCCACTATTTTTTTTATAGTCTTTAATTTAATTACAGTATTTATATGACTTAAGAAACTTAATTCATTACACCCAACACTGTATAAAAGTAATTAAAATGTAAACTTACGCATTGACTCTAGCAGCTATTTTCACCCAAGCTAACTCTCTCTCCTTCGCCGCTGCAGCCGTGTTGCTTTTTTTAAAAATACATGTTCAAATTCTGCATATGCTTGCATAAGCACATCCAGTTCTGCTGGTGAGAAATATGCACACTTTTTTTGTCTGACGCTGTTGCCATGGTGACTCATAATATCTGTGCTCCATTGATAATGGCTTTTTATAGTTGTGGTGCACGCGCTTAACTCAGAGTCAGTCAATTTAGAGTTGATTGAACTAACTCATTTCAGCTGTTCTGAAACCCAAAACTCAGAGTTTCCAATCTCAGGATAAGTCAACTCAGAGTTCAAGTTTTAACTCAGAGTTGGTTGAACTTCCTTATTGAAACAGGCCCCTGGAATCTGACCACATTTTTGGGGTTAATCTTTTGAAAGCAACCACACCCAGTGTCTGACTACTGCCACCATGGAAGAATTAAGAAATAGAACCCACCTGACAACAGGGGCAGAGTTAGATGGGGGGCCATAGCCACCCTTAGCCAATCCTTGGCCACCCCTGCCATTTTTTTCTCTAAAGTAGAATATTCAAAACATTTTAATTGTATATGTATTAACAATTACTTGACAACAAAAACACTGTGGGTAATTATGCACATCAATATACCAACATTAGAGATGATTAGTACAGAATTCACACTCTTTCAGAACTAGATTTTGTGCTATATGCTGTAAAGAGAAAATTATGTGTCTCTCCAAGTCACCTAAGAGTCTTTAGTGAAATCATAGGCTATGTTCACACTGCAGGCCTTGATGCTCAATTCCGATTTTTTTTTTTGTGAAATCTGATTTTTTTGCGTTGCCGTTCATATTTCCAAATTTATGCGACATGTATGTGATCGCATTTGAAAAGATCAGATTCGTATCGGATTCAGGACCACATAGGCAAGTGGCCTGGGTCGGATTGGAAAAAATTGGATCTGTGTTGTTCAGACTGCCATTAAAAGATCAGATCCAGGTCGCATATGGGCAAAAAAAAATCGGATTTGGGTCACTTCAGGCTGCAGTGTGAACGTAGCCATAGATAAGGTAAATAACTATTTTAATAAAAACCTATTAAATTATCAATTTATGTAGATATTAGTACTTGTGAATATCAATTTAATGCAGAATGATATTGATAAAAGTAGGTAAGTAATGACGATGGAAAAGATGTTCGCTCCAGAGCTCAAACCTGAAAGAATTATATCCAATATACCTTTTATCTAGATGGATACTTAAATATATGCATGTTTTTGTTAGCAAAGGCTGTAAGAAACTATAGTTAGTCTTTATTTGGAAATACAGATGTTGTGCTTGTTCCTGTTGGAACAGTGTAGATTGACCCTGAGGTTCTGGTGCCTATCAACCTTTGGCCACCCCTCAGTGTACATTGGTTATTGCCTGGCCACCCTTATAAAGAAAAATTCTGGCTACGCCTCTGAACATAAAGTAGGGTAAAATATCCCATTATCTCATCTAAAGAAATTCAGGAAAGGAAGAGATACAAAGCCATCCAAATCTATTGGTCTGGGAAGGTTTACAGGTCTATTTCTGATGCTTTGGCCTCCTGTGAACCACAGATTGGGAGAAAACATGGTAAAATGGTGAACCATCCCAAAGATACGGGATGCAACTACATTAAGGAGGGTTTAAAGACACATTAAATACACGCAGCACAGACACGAAAGCCCACACACAGACAAATGGGTAAATCATATTATCACATTTTGAAGACAGTAATCCAAAAGACTTTGCACTACTTTAAGTCATTTAATCTGGTAAGCTTCACTTTAGCCACAGCTGCTCTGGGGCACACTGATAACAGCAAGGTATACAGGAAGTAGGCGATGCAGGTGAAGTGTTTTACCAAGGGACACAACAACTAAGGCAGGAGCAGGGGTTCAAACCAACTTTAAATCACAGGACAAACCCCAGCTTCCTAAACCACTGTCACCCTCATCGAGAACATGCATACCTTCTGTCTTAAAATCAAATGGAAGCAACTAGAGCTGAAACAATTATTCAGATTATTCATGATTAATTGATTATTGAAGTAATCAACAAATTTAGAAAATGATTAATGGAGTGTAGAGATTCTAAAACGTGTAACAGAGCAAATAATTAAGCATTTTGTGTGTAAGGATAAAAAAAGGTTTTTTTGTCTGTCAATATGCTATATCCGGAACTCAAGAGTTTTCATCCTATCTAAATATTAATCTATTAATCGAAAAAATAATCGACAGATTAATTGATTTGCTATATAATCATTAGTTGCCGCCCTACAAGCAACATAGCAGTATTTGTTTAAACCTTTTCCAAACCTTTTTCCTATGACTTGAACTTAGCTTGTTTAAAATAAAGAGTTGGACATTAGCATTTCCTATTGGTAATCTAGTCTACTTTCTAAAAAAAAAAAAAAAAGCCTTGAATCATTAAAACCTTTAAATCTTTAAGCTCTTTCTTAAAATTTCACCATTCTACTTTTTAGATGCCTGCAGGTAAAATATTTCTGTAAGTGCAACAACAGTACAAACTATTTAATTACTTTTTTCATAGAACTTCTTGTAGGTGCAAATAAATAGTTAAAAAATATCTCTCCCAGTGGACATGCACCTACAACTTTAATTTCAGACCCCTCCATGATTTCTAAGTGGGAGAACTTGCAAAATAGCAGGGTGTTCAAATACTTATTTTCTTCACTGTACATAATTATTCATACAAATATTACATCAGTACAAATCTGCAAGGAAGTGAGATTTGAACTGTATGACCCGAAGTTACTTTTACCTACCAATTGGAAGACTAATGCAGTTTCTTTTAGGAATCATAATACTTTAGTTCTTTATAACTTTATTTATTGGGAAGATATTTGGGGTACCTTCCAATAAGCTTTTGCATAATTCTTAATTGGCCCATTTATTTTTATTTGGGAAGCTATTTAATGATAGGCTTACAGGTGCTGGTCATAAAATTAGAATATCATGAAAAAGTAGATTGATTTCAGTAATTCCATTTAAAAAGTGAAACTTGTATATTATATTCATACATTACATACAAACTCATATATTTCAGATGTTTATTTTGTTTAATTTTGATGATTACAAATGACAACAAATGAAAATCTCAAATTCATCATTTCAGAAAATTAGAATATTGTGAAAAGGTTCAAAATTGATGGCCCCTGGTGCCACACTCTAATCAGCTAATTAACTCAAACCACCTGCAAAAGCCTTTAAATGGTCTTTCAGTCTAGTTCTATAGGCTACACAATCATGGGGAAGACTGCTGACTTGACAGTTGTCCAAAAGACGACCATCGACACCTTGCACAAGGAGGGCAAGACACAAAAGGTCATCGCTAAAGAGGCTGGCTGTTCACAGAGCTCAGTGTCCAAGCACATTAATAGAGAGGCGAAGGGAAGGAAAAGATGTGGTCGAAAAAAGTGTACAAGCAAGAGAGATAACCACACCCTGGAGAGGATTGTGAAACAAAACCCCTTCAAAAATGTGGGGGAGATTCACAAAGAGTGGACTGCAGCTGGAGTGAGTGCTTCAAGAACCACCACACCAGACGTATGAAAGACATGGGTTTCTGCTGTCGCATTCCTTGTGTCAAGCCACTCTTGAACCACAGACAGCGTCAGAAGCGTCTTGCCTGGGCTAAAGAGAAACAGGACTGGACTGCTGGTGAGTGGTCCAAAGTCATGT